TATGTTTTTGTTTGTCGTTTTCTAGTAGTATTTAGCCAATTTTTTAAGAATCATGTAATTTGATTGGTTAATCATCACGGGAAATCACGAGTAGAACGACAAAATTAACCAATCATACGAATTTCTTCGATGATTTAAGCATGCCCCTTATCTGGTTTCTCTTGTTTGTAGCAAATGTCAAGAGTGATCTACTATATTGAATTGTATGGTACCGATAGTTTCTGTGTCAGTAATACAAACTTATAAATTAACAAATCAGTGTATGGAAATTTTTTCTATTATAAATACAAATACTGCACAATACTGTACGTGTGTACACGAAAGGAAAGTGACACTAATTAAACATTGAGAATGAAATTTTATCGTTATGTACGTCCGTACAAATACGGTAAATGATAATCCATCTTAATATGTCCCAAATCTGGTTTCGTCTTAAATTTCCTTTTATTTTTAAAGTTTTCCAGTACAAATAAATAAATCCGTAGGTTAGCTTACATCCTGAGTTAGGACTATGGTATTATTGGATCTCGCGAAAATAGGACCCTGATCTCTTTTGCTCCAATCTCTGTGATACGGATTCAGAAACGACGAGCATTGCATTTTTTGTGTATTATTTATATTAAAAAAAAGTGATTTATATAATTATTGTAAAACTATAGTGCAGGGAAATTAATCTGAGATTTTTCTGATATTAATTGTACCCCTAGACAATATTTGTCATTTTTAACAACTGGACATAATCAATTTTTGCAATGAAGATGCTATACAAAATTGTTTGTCTTGGCGATGGTGGTGTTGGAAAGGTATTAAATATCTTATCATACATTGTGCACTTGAATTAGCTAGTCAATACTGACATTTTGCTTAATATCTTAATCGTATTTAGTCAGCTCTTACAATACAAGTTAGTCAAAATAATTTTACATTTTCTCTTTTTCAAATACGTATTAAATTTTATTTTTGTCTTCGTTTTTAATCGGACATTTCATTCTTTTATTACAGTTATGTCTAAACCAATTTGTCGGTTGGTATAATTTTAAATTGTCTTCTTTCAATATATTCAATCTTATCTATAAATTCATGAACTTAACTATTATATGTTTAATAACTTGCAATGCATTGTATAGAGGTTTGTCTTTGTAAATTTTGTATGCTTTTTTTCAGGCTATAATATATATATATTTTGTTTTATTGATCATGTATTAACAATTAGAAATATAACCCAACAATCGAAGATTCATATCGAAAACAAACTGTCGTAGATGGCTTACCTTGTGTTCTAGAAGTATTGGATACTGCTGGTCAAGGTTCGTAAATTTATTTAGATACTATTTTGCAATCCATATGATTTCACTATCATAAAGAGTAAATATGCTACCCTTTTTTTCCGTTATTTTTTCATTAAATTTAATAGAAGAATATGCAATGTTGCGTAATCAATGGATCAGGTATTGTATTCATGTTTTAAACTTTTTTTTTGAAAAGCCATTATACAGTATTAACATACTTTATTAGAATTAAACAATATAATTTAGTCTTTCTGTTTTAATAACATTGTCTAATGCGTAATAATTCTTTATTTAGTGATGGAGAAGGCTTTCTAATTATTTATTCCGTATCTTCAAGATCTACATTTGAGAGAATAGAACAATTTTATGAAAGCATTTTATATTTCAAGAATTATGTGCCACCAATTATACTTATTGGTAATAAATGTGACAAACATGCTGAACGTGAAGTTTCTAGAGAAGAAGGAATGAATATGGCGAAAAAGCTTAAATGCGATTTTATAGAAGCTTCTGCCAAAACATGCGTGAATGTGGAGAGATGTTTTTATTCACTGGTTAGAATGATTAGAAGTAGAAAACATATCGATAATAGGAGTGCGAGAAGAAGAAGGAGACAAAAGTATACAATTTTGTAATTTAATCTGTAAATTATAAATTTCATTCATACAATTTCTTGTCAATATTATAACAAGAAACTTGCTCTTTCATACAGTATAACAATTTCATTAAATGTATTAAATTTATTGC